CGAAATGGCATTAGGTTTATCTCAAACTAGAGAGACCGCATCATGGTACTGACTCCCAGAACTAAATAAACGAATTTCGGGTGATATCCACTGGCATGCTCTTTGTTAAGACGTTCAAGAGAACTGCCCGTAATAGTATGCACGTATTTTAGTTCTAAAAATTATCACTTTCGCATTTTAATAAAAATTGGTGAAGATCATGTCGCTGACTCCTTCGACAATTATTAACTCTTCATTTTATATTTGTGTGTTTCGTATGATTTTCAGTATAAACAGGGATTATTTCCTTAAACAGCACTGACCAGTTGATCTTTGTAATGGTAAAGAGTGGTGTTTTCATTGCGGTACGGACTGAATCACTAAATATTATTTAAACGAGCTTCATCTTTAAAAGGTTAATATACGTTTCCCTCACTTTAAGATATGGGGCAACTGTAACGTGATAGGTAAGGAAAATCGAAACATAATGCGTCCCAGAATCATTCTGTTCACTGCAAATTCCACGTGTATATCCCTGAATAAATCTGAACTCCGCGGTGTTAAGCACGTGTGTAACATGGCCGAGTGAATGAGTTGCAGGGATCTTGGTGAGAGTCAAATGACACATGGCTGTCGGCTACTTCTTGATTTGTTCAAAGATTATTTTTAAACTGCAAGATTATGTAATGTCTCAGCATTGGGCTGGAGAGACGGATGTCAGCTTCGAGAACTCTCAGTTAGCGTAGCCGATCTCCAGACCCTAGAATCGAACGCAGAACCTTCGCAGTGAACATAACTACTCAACGTAAACTGTCCTGGTAGCGCGCTATTTTCAAGAAACAGGTGTTCGTTAGGAGGGTTCGATACCAGAAATGCGTAACAGAAACTCTCATTTACATTAATTCATGGAAAAGAGAAGGGAACAAATGAACTCATATTAACGACAGCAATAAATATTCGTATTCACAAGAATTTCATCTTCTAAATCCCAAGTCCAACAGATTTTTATGAAATAAAGAAAAGTCTTTGTTAATCTCGGTGAGATTTAAAATTTGGTCACAAGAGAAAAATAATAATGAAAAGAATAAAATTGCTTAAATTGTTAGATGAATTTCCGTTAAATTTCAACGGGCTCGTTGCTAGTACTTACTATTTATGCACGTTATTCTTCAGTATAAGAGATCGTATCAGTTACTTACAGCTCATAAAATTGTAATTCTATAGTCTAAGCCTTACATATTTCGCGTTTTGGATAACAGACTACATGAAGAATATAAATTATTTCAAAATTATATTCTCTAGTTTAACTTTTTGCCTCGTTTCTAGGAGCATTGCCACCAGCAGTTTCAAAGATGTGCCTGTTAAGATGGCTGTCTTCCAGGTTGTAGTGCCGTGTAGTCTGGTAGAAGTTTACGAACGTTTCAGAGGTTCTGCCAGACTAGACGGCATTACGACGCAGAAGAGGGCCATCTTAGAACTCGCCGCCTTTGAAACCTCAAATGCTACGTGCCTCTTAGCTTCGCTGCTGCGTCATTGAGACAATTTCTGCTAAAATGCAATCGCTAAACTAACAGTAAGCTATGCTACCATGTGCCTACCCACAATTTGAGCAATTATAAGTAATTTTGTGATTCGTGAAATTTATAGAAATGAGCTGACGACAGGGAAAAGTGTGGTAATTTATCCGAACGCCATATATGACGGCTGTTTCAGCTTCTTTCTTGACAATGTCTTGTGACCTGGGGTAGCGACAGGTGGGATAGATATATCGATTACAGAGCAACCATCATGGGGAACGGTGTAACCACCAACGCTAACGCCCACCCTCATTCCCGTCCTCAAGCTGCCATCTTGTTGCTAGGCAACTGTTGTAAGCCAATAGAGTTGTTCCTCTGTCCATCTCACCCCCGTCAAAGCTCGATGCTGTCAGTCTGAAACACCTTTCAATTCTTCTGGGTACATTATTATATACGAAGATCTAGCAAGCCCCACATAGAAAAATGAGACCAAAAAAATCATGTGGAATAACTCGATATTAGTATGAATTATATAATTCTTAAGCAATTTAATGATGTTTGGTGGGCAAAAGTTATATAGTGTCAAATGAGACTGGACGATGACAAAAATAATGAATAAGAAAGAATTCTGAACGAAAGCGTCGCGTTCAGTTTTAAGATGGCACCTGGAAAGACCATCAGTCCTCAGTAAAGACAAAAGGGAACTGACCAAGACTCGGACTGGCTAACAACAGAATATAGTCTTAGTCCTTGGGTTTTCGCGGCTGGAGTATAATTTGTAACTTCAGCTTTCGGGTGTGAGCAGCGTCGAATGTTGAGTCTTAACAAGTGCTTCAGTAAACATTGCAGTTGTCATATTCAAAGTGAAAGGCAATATGGCAACTGCAATTTTTTTCAGAAACATTGGTTAATACTCAAAAAATGACTTGGCTCACACCCGAAAGCTGAAGTTACACATACAGAATGGAGCACCACACCTTTACAAACCTGTTAGGTGTAGCTTCTGACAGATATCAGAGTTTGCGACCGATGTATTGATAGATTTCTCGCCATAGACAGATATCACGCCCTACAGCCGATATATTGGCAGATACCGCGCTATGCAACACTAACAACAATAATTTTATCTTCATAATCTATAATAAAGAGATGCAGCGGAAGTACTAGCTCAGGATAGAGTCCGGTGGCGGGCTTTTGTGAACACTGTAATGAACCTTTGGGTTTCATAAAGAAAATGGACTATTCTTTGACAAGCCGAGTATACAATCGACTTTTCAAAGATTTTCCCGCACCATAAAGGATTAAGCACATTTTATATAATATACAATTATTGTACGAATAACGATATGTAATTTTTGAAAGGCTCTAGAAGTGTCCAGTGACACTCGATTAAGCCAACTATGATGTAGAATTAAAGAAAAGCACGAAAACCCTTCAGTTCCAGTCGTTCGGGCCTAACATCTACCGGATAATAATGATAATGCAGACTGTAAACATCCTCCTTTTAAATTGAACTTAATTTATGAAAACCATGAACAGAACTGTTCCTAATACGTAGGGGTGTCAACCACTCCCACAAAAAATTAAAATTATAAGAAACAATTTACAAGTTGGCTGTCTTCTGGGTTGTAGAGGTCCTTGCTTCTACCAGACTACACTCCACTACAACCCAGAAGACAGCCATCTTCGTACTCAAAGCCGTTAGAACCTCAAATCCTACTTAAGAAGATTACTCTGAATGATGAACTGGGAATAATAACCCAAGCGCAGAAGTACGCCTGCTTCCACAAGAATCTTTCACAATTCACTTTAACATGTCACTTCAACGCTTTAACAAATCGTTTATGGATACGAAACATGCCGTAAAGAAAGTGTGGGCTACGCAGAAGAGAGAAAATGAAAGAAGACAGATTTCGAAAATATGTAAACTGCATTCTGGTTTTCCTGCATAAACTAAGAAAAGTATTAGAATTTGTGTAGTATGGAACCAGAACATGGGAAGAAACGTTGAAACAAGCTGAACATGGTAAAAGAATGAAGATGATTAAGTTTTAAAATCTGGAAGCCAAAATACTTCTGCATAATAGTCGATAAAGAGAAGACAATTAAGTTTTATAGACTGGAAGCTAAAATATGGTGGTTAAAAACACTTGAAAGTATTTCCAGATACGCTTAAATATTAAGAGCTAAAGGTAAGAAGATTGCATCAGATACGAAGAATCAAAATAATAAAAGTTCAACGTCGCGTGGGTATTACAGCAACACCCACGCAACGCTGAAGTTCACAATCCAGGCACAGTCAACGCAACCACGGCTGACCGTGGACCAACAACGGAAACCTCAAGTAAAACTTTGGGCCAGTGGACATTAAGCTGAGCAACTCAATTTAGATAATACAACAACTCACGTGCAATTAAATGTTCAGTGTGGTATTACATGAATTAAGGTTTTATAAAGTGCGACCTTTTTATAACAAACCGTGTCTTATGAAATGAATGGTTTAATAGACAGACTAATGAATTAATGATTTTGCCACTGATGATGACCTCTTGAGGTCGAAATGCGTTTAGCACTAATGTGTTTTTCAAAATGTGCAAACAGTTTTGTTTGTAGGCATGGTTTTATATATTTTAGGCGCAAAACAGTCTCAACACTAAACACGAGAGACGAGTTGGAAGTCATAAAAAGCACAACGCTGACTTCTAATTTAGACAAAAATGAAAATAAATTAGACAAAATTCGGGATTCAAGACGAACTGCGCTGCATATTCGTGGCTCAGAAATATGATTAAGGTAAAGGAAAAGACGTCAACAGAGAATAACAAAATGTCATATCAATAATAAGGTATATACCTACTATCAGATTCCTTTGTCCTGACCAATGGACGCCTTACGTAAGGTAAAGTAGGAGGTGCGCATGTCTCTCTGAAGAAAGAAACTACAAAGGGAAAGGTGACGCATTTCAACTTAAAAAAAATCCATTTAATCCAAATAGTGGATATTTTGTTGTCATCGGCCGCAAATAATAATGCCAGTAAAAGCAATGACAGAGACGTGTCATAGCGCAGATCGTTAGGACAACATATCAAAAGAAAACGAAATCACTGTCAACGAAAATAACATCAGCTGACATGTGTTATTCTATGTCACGTGTGAAAGTATAGAGGTCAATATGACGTTACTGTCAGAATTACAGATGAAAACGTTGATTCGGGCAGATCGCAGAATAAACCTGAAAGAGGAACTATAACCTGCAGCGAGAAGAATAAAGTCGCGGACCCATAACACAGTAAAATAAAACACGTGAATCCATTTGTAACATGAAATATCTGATTCAGATTCCATAGAAGTCGAGACATTTTTGGATCTTCTGAGAAACTGACATGTTCTCAAAAAGGACTCTGTTCTAAGGAGTTAATTACCAGATTGTCGTGTGTGTGCGTGAAGAAAATATTTTTTTTACAGACGCTCAGCCTACATTAATCGAATTTGATTGCTTGGCAGAGCAATGGGTCCGAAACGCAGACAGCAGGGTCTGCATGCCTAGCTGCCAACTCGCGGACCTAAGTTTCATGCCAGGTGCCGAGGTGGACGACATTAACGAGTGCATTCTTCTCGAGGGGGCCCAGGATGGAATTGGAATGCGGGTCGGGGGTGGCGTCCATGATGACGTCACTTCTACGACCTGTATTCATTCGGTTGCACTCCGTCGATTTGCTGCAGAAGCGCCTAAAGGTACACGAATACGATTAAATGCACACTACATGCTCATTAAAATAATGAATCACAAAAGCGCGACTAGTCAAATGAATGCAGGCCGCACTCCAATGTGCATTAGATCGATTCCAGTCCCCCGCTGTTGCGTCTACCCTTAAAACATAATCACTGTTGAGACAATCCCATGGTAGCCGTCACCAAATCACAGGCTTCAAGGCTACGGAAGGACTTCACCTCCCACACTACCGCGCGGCTCTAAGTCTCCAGTACACTGCGAGGTTTGAGCTGTCTTCACTCGCATGGGCTTCGCTGTTCGCGTAAGAACACTGTATGTTTTTTTTCTGTGACCTTGAAGTATGCAATTTGGTGGCGGCTACTATAGTCAAATGAATGTAGGCCGGTCTTTTCTGGATATTTTCTAAGATAGAATTCTAAAATGGTTGTTGCTAGCGCATAGCTATGGGACAATAGACCTACAAGTTGTTATTATTGCGCAAGATTTATATAGGAAAAAACCCAGCTTTCTTTGTATTCAACATTAAAATTGCTTCAACCTTATGGAGCCACATACCGCGAATATTTCAGTACAGTGACAGACTACAGGCTGGATGTCTGGGTCCTGATTCTAGCCAGGGGAAAGACTTAACCTTTGCCACCATGTGCTTAGGTACTCCCTTTTTTAAGATGAGGTGAGACTGTATCTGTATAACTGCGGCAACTAACGGGTCCCTTGTTCGGCTCCCAGATGATACAATAGTGAATATGGAGTATCGGTGGAATGATACTGACAGTAGAAAATCTAAGGACTCGTAGAAAATCCTATATTAAGTCCATTCTAAACACCATACATCCTAAAATAATTTATCTGGAAACGAGCACGGGCCTCCGAAGTGAGAAAGCGACCATCTGCCTTATTTATATCACGTCCTTGCTTATACTTTACGTTAACTCTAAAACAGGCAGAACTTTTGAACAAGACTTGACATTTAGGTTTCATAAAGTGTTCACAGCGGAGTTGTCGAGCCAGACCAATTATAATAAACTAGGTGATGAAGAGGGAACACAGCTGGCGCGCCAGCAAGACAACAACAAAGCGATCCCCCATTCAACACCGCTCACTCTCAATTGGTTATCGGAGAACTACGAGTCCGCTGAAGGTGTGTGCATTCCTCGCAACGTCATCTACAAGCACTACTGTGACTTCTGTCAGAAAAATGGCATGATACCTGTAAACCCGGCAAGTTTTGGTAAGGTGAGAAAACTTTGTTCTTCAGGAAAACTCCGGTTAAATCTTCTTTTAGAGGTACAGCAGACTCTAGATAATCCAGGTTCGTTGGAAAATATGTTTTCCTGGCTAATCCGCAAAAAATTAAAGACAAATACGCAAATGTAGCAAATATGAAAGTTTATTTACAGCCATACACTACTTAAATTTTTCAATATTTACGATTTAACAGAAAGGATTTTATATAAAATTTAATACAGTACATACCAACTATTTTTATAAAAGGATTCCAACGGACAGTAATAACGTTCTATTGTAAACTTCAGGTTTTAGTAACAATTTGTTAATACTTTAAATAATATATCGTTGTATTTTTATCCCTTTATTTTTAAACATTTTAACTTTCACAACAGATTTTCTAAATTAATTATTAATTTTAGTTTAAACCATACAAACCCCGTTACCGCCCCTGGATAATCAGGAGTCTACTGTAGTTTAATTGCAAGGCTTATGAAGTCTGTTCCATTAACTTTCAACAAAAAACTCGTCTATCTTTTTCTGGAAGGAGGGAGGTGATCCCCATTTCTTTTGTCAATGGTTTACAACACATTGCTAACTTCGGCAATGAAGTGTCTGAATTCTTTGTACATATGTATTTATTTTTAATTTCTTGGAAACACGTATGACTTTCCAGGTTAAAAACATAAGATCCTAAATATCAGTATATTTTGTAGATCGTTCGTCAGAAGTTCAAGATGGTGAAAAACAGGCGTCTAGGAACCAGAGGCTACTCAACGTATCATTACCACGGCATTGGCATTCGGCACTTCTCCGTGTACTACGAGGAGCAGTACAGTCGAAATGGTATCAACAGGTTAGAAAAGCTGATCTCAGTTTTGTTCACTGACCGAATGTTACCCCTATTTGAACCATTTCAGTTCTGCGTTTGCTTTAGAAAACACATATTTCTTTCTTCTCCCATGCCAATTCCTATTTTTGTTTATTAAAACCACAAATGCCGGTCGCAGTGGCCACGCGGTCTGAGGCATGGACCTCGTGCGCCTAACTGCTACGACCGTGGGTTCGAGTCCCACTCAGGGCATGGATGTTTGTCCGCATCTTTCTGTGTTTGTATAGGAAGAGGTCTTGAGTCGGGCTGATCACCCATCCAAGGAGTCTTACCATTGTCCAAACAGATCAAGAAGGAGTCTAAATAAACCTCGACACCTACGGGTAAAAGAGGCTGAAAGGAAGAAAGGAAGAAAGAAAGAAAGAAAGAAATAAAACCACAAATAGCTTCAGGTATCAAGGGATATGGTTTGTCAGTCCTATAACAGTGGTCTAGTATCGTCATGGCATTTTGTGTGTGTGTGATATTAACTGTCTGCATGTGTTTATATGGGCATTTCCACACCTGAAATGTCATAAAACTTCACTGACTGCTTATGACATGTCTATAAGTAATAAGTGCAATTAATTACTTCCAACTGTTTTAGCATACAAGGGAAAAAAGGAGCCAACAATCACGTAAGTAAATTGTTTCTCTAATTTGTAATCGCTAGAACAGATTCTTAAGAGGCTTGTTGACGTCAGGAAAACTAAAGATAGGATGTGAAGAAATGTCCAGTGCACTGTAAGAGTGTGTCTGCATGCAGATGTCAACTGACCCACTTTCATCCTGAAAATCATTTTCAGAATCCAGTATGACTGACTCGGTATGAATATTATGCCGCTGGAGATATACTCAGATTTTTATTTTAACTTTGTCAATGTAAGACAGTGGTTTCCAAACATTTTGCCTGGATCACTTAAAATTTGTTGAGGATCTTGGAGGACCATTTAATGTTGTTTCTGCCTGTCGTTTAACAATTGTTTTACGCTATGCTATAGACCTCGAAGATGAGAATAAAGAAGTTGTTAATGTATTCAGTTTAGTCATAAGAATTTGTCACTTATGTGTAACTTGTTTCTATTTGAAGATTTCTGTCTTCTGGGTTGTTGCGCTGTGTAGTCTGGTAGATGTTTACCGACGTTTCAGAGGTCCCTGCTGCCTTCATCATCAGGGCAAGGACCTCTGAAACGTCGGTAAACATCTACCAGACTACACAGCGCAACAACCCAGAAGACAGAAATCTTCAAATAGAAACAAGTTACACATAAGTGACAAATTCTTATGACTAAACTGAATACATTAACAACTTCTTTATTCTCATCTTCGAGGTCTATAGCATAGCGTAAAACAATTGTTAAACGACAGGCAGAAACAACATTAAATGGTCCTCCAAGATCCTCAACAAATTTTAAGTGATCCAGGCATGATGAAGGCAGCAGGGACCTCTGAAACGTCGGTAAACATCTACCAGACTATACGGCGCAAAAACCCAACCCAGAAGACGGCAATCTTCAGACTCACCGCCGTGAAAACCCCAAATCCTACAAAGTCTACTCTGCCACGAATAAACGTATTTTCTGTATTCTTCTGTTTTCAGGTCTCTCCTCGACCGCCGACGAATCCCGCATCGCCAAAGGCAAATGTGTCATCCACAAATGTTCCCGTAATAGAATTTCCAAACCTTCAGAACGTAACTCTACCAGCCAGTATCTCCCACCAACTTTTCGGCTCCTTCTTCACGATGTACCGTGCCCACTGCTTGCGGGTCTTCAACTCCATCTACAGGAATGAGCTAGATGAGGTAACTACGCAGTCGACAAACTTCCTGACTCCCTGGTAGTAGAACCCAGAGCTTCATCGCTACGAATACCAAAGTCATTTATTGTAAACTATCTTTCTCAAAACTCATCTCCTCTTTATATTATTCTGTAATCTCTTTATAGGTCTTTCTAGTGACCGCTTTTCAATAGGTTTGGGAGCAAAATTCTGTAAGCATCTTATCTTCCCCCAAAACGCTGCACCATGAAGTTCGATGCAGAGAAGTTATTCAAATTATAAAATCCATATCTAAATAAAAAAGTTATTTTTGTACGTAATTTGTGCGGATGTGGGCTAATTTCTCAGAGCAGCTAAAACTAGTCATGATGTTTGTACCACGCCCGTCCATCTAAAACCCTCACAACCTCTTTAACACTCATCTAAATATTACCGGTACACTCACATGTCCTTGGTCTCTCTGGTAACATACGTATTATTGGCTTCTACATCCCGGCTAATTCCCTCCTAGATTTCACTACTCGTATGTAACAAGTCTCCCAAGCGACTCGTACAAAATTCATCGTTATGTGATCTCCAAATTCTTTGGAACTCGTTAAGAAGGGTACATGTCAAATGTAATTTGTAATTATTGATTACCAAAATACTATTCACTTCATGATTCTTAGGTTCGAATACGTTACAGGCATCACTCTCTTACGAACAGTTACGATCCTGGAGAGAGTTCGTAAAACAAATGTCATAAATTGAGTCGCTATTCCCAATAAGCACAATGTTATAATTGGAGGTTACGTTCCCAGACGACCTAAAAATGACAAAAATTTACAAATCAACTACTTTATTGCACGAAACGAAATATACAAGCCAGATGGAACACGTTACATTATTACGTGTATTATAAAATAGTTTTAACAGAAATGCGACCTACAAACAGCAATGGAAAAACACAATTTCCCTAGTTTCACTGGCTGATTTGGTGGCGTTGAGTCCTTTGTGTTTTCGTTAGCACGTCTTAGATTTTGTACGGAATATTTTAAGCGAATTCGCGTTCCGATGTCGAGACAAGTGGAGGGATACCCTTCGTTGTGTGAGCGAAATGTCGTAAAGCGACAGCTGACTGTACCTACTAGACCTAGCACCTTGTTACCAATACTTGTAATTTGCTATCATGTTATTCCCCCATCGCAAGAGAAGACGTTTCACAAACACAAAAAATACATGTAACTTCAGCAAATTACTTTGAACCCAAATAAAAAATGTATTCCTGTCAGAAATATTTATATGGAAAACGCGACCTTTGAAGTTACAAGTGAGATTTAATATTAGAAGAATTTACGGAGCACGGTAGCTCGAAAACGAGAGGGTGGAAAATGGGATTTGTGTTCAATAAACCACGCACATATTTACATAACATGTCCTGTTTATTAACCAAGGCCACAAAATAAAAAAAAATCAAACTTTTATTGGGAATTAGCAGTTCTTTGAAAAACGCTTTTGTCAATGTCGCCTTCGACGATACGAGCATTACTGCTTTATTGTGTAGAGCAGCGGAATTCAAAGCGAATGGAACAAGAAGTTTGTTAATTTTATAAATGCAGCTGACAAATGGCCGCTGTGGGAAGAACCCCATAGTTGGGTCAGTGAGCAGTAATATGGATATGGTTTCGTGAATTTCAAGATCACAGCTTTAATAAATACTCTTATATTCGAAATAACTTATCCTTGGTGAGATTTCAGGTTCTCACGGCGGTAAGTATGGAGATGATTGTCTTTTGGGTTGTTGCATCGTGTACACTGGTAGAAGTTCACCGACATCTCAGAAGTGCTTGCTGCCTCCATCACCAGTTGATTGAGGCAGTAACCACCTTAGAAATGTCGGTAAAATTATATCAGACTACACGGCGCAAGTTACCATAAACATTATTCTAGGTTTATTTTCGACTACGAAGATTATAAAATGAGATGGGAAGATGATTAGGAATTGGTAACAGTTGCGGATTAGAAAGGAGATACTCCCCCGGCATTCGTCTGGATAAAAATGAAACACGACTGTAGCCTGACTGAAGTGGAAATTCAGTACCTCTGGAATGAAGGTCTCTAACACAAGAAGCTTTGAAAAACTAAATTAAGAACAAAGAAATAAGTGATGCACAAGATAGTAGTGACCTAATTTATCAGCACTGAAATGCAACATTTTTTTTAAAATGGCCAATATAAGAGCGACTTAAGAGCAATTATAATTCTGACTAATTTTATCAAGATCCCGGGAAAATTATTCAAACGAATAGTTTGATAATGTCCTTGTTTCCACGAGGCAAAGGGTGAATCGTACCTTAAGGAAGTAGGCCACATCCGTTTCCTTCCTAATTCATTATGCACGATCATTACAGTCTTAGCCCACAGTAGTCTCCATATTTCGCCACCTCATCTATACTAGATGACCTGTATAAACCACGACGTTGAGGTATTTGTCGCTCTAGGCGACCGCCTAGTTTGCGTAGTGGTCAAACCATCAGTGAGCTGCCAAAAAAGCTCAGGCCTGTACATCGTGTCTTTCAGGTGAAAGAGTTCTTGCAGCACTTCTGGAAAGAAGTACCACTGCATTTCATAGGTATTCTGGGGAGCAACGCAGTGGTCAATATGGTGGGTGTGTGTGACTCAGTTCTGTACCGGAGCATCGCTGGCATCTTTGTGCCCTCAACCCGTAAAGTAAGTGTTCTGATCAAAACACGCGACTCTGCTTTCGGGATTATGTTTATTATTATTATTGACTGCAAATGGTTTTTTGCCCGGTGGCAGTGGTCCTACAATAAGACACAACAGAACAATGAGATACAACAAAACAATGAGACAAAATATCAAATATCAAAATATAGTGCATAACAATCCTTCGGTGCTGTCCGACACAACAGACTGCTGGAGTTCGTCACTGATATTTCTAATGGAAAGGCATGTAGTCCTAAAAATAAAAGGCTTTTACATTTCAATATTGATATTCACCACAGGATTTTTTTTACTTATTAGTGTTCATGTCAAATAAATAGCCATTTCTAGGGGTTTAGGACTATGGTATCAATCAACAAAAGAATCATCTAAGTACAACAATCCCTAAGATATTAACATTCAAACAGTGATAGGCAGACAACAATTTTATTATTGATTGTAGATTCCTGGATTGTTACTTTGCAGGCATCACAACCCAGATGACCACAATAGACATTTTCATCTCCAATCTTCACTTGAAATATCAAAATGTCATTTCTAACAAAATTAATTTGTCACGTTTGAGCTTTATTATTGATTTGTGCGTTTCTTACGCAGACCTCTCCAGCGCCCTCTACAATGCTGATGAAACTTGTACCATTAATAGATGGTTGGTTCTACACAATGCTGGCATCTCTGCCTGCAAACCTATGCACCATAAAACGCAACTGTACGTATCATTACACACTCAACTGGTGTTTATGTTAGTTTCACAGATCACAGTAATTCTATTTTGGTTATTAATAAAATCCGAAAGTAAATTAATTTGTATTTTGTTACGTCTTACTGCAACCACTTGAACCGTTAGGCAACACTGCAGATCATTACATACGGAGCGGATCATCAAACAACATGAGTCGTTCAAGTGCTTACTGACCCTACTGACAGTCAGTGAGTGGTCTTGTACAGCTCACATTGAGCTGTACAGCATTTTTATAAGAGCTATGAAAACAATACACAAAATTGTACAGTTTATTTTAGAAACAGAATCTTTTGCTTCTCAGATACATCTCTTGTCTTGGTTTTACGTTATATTTGACAGTAAGATTGAATTGGGGTAATATTTGATATCTTGCAGTTAAGGTTCTTTTATCGATTGTTTTGGTTGTTTCCTGTAAAAAGACATCACACTGAGACGCATACAGACAGACTGGCATTTGAGGTAAAACTTGATTTGTTTTGCTACAAAATGACACCTCAACCGATTCTGTAAGCTTTCTGATTAAATTTCTATACACTTTCAAAGTTGTAAAGTTCTTTTAGAATCACCCTGTATATTAAGAAACTTTCACTGAAAGGCCCGAAATCTGCCTATAAAATTGTCAGTACGGGAATTCAGTATAAAAGTTTCATCGTATTTTGTGAAATATTAGGCAGTAACTGTTTTATAGATTCCTTCAACAGGAATCCAGATTCCATGCTTTTCCCACGGGATGGATACTTGTACGAAGTCTAAAGTTGTTATTAAAAACATGTACAACAGTCAGATTACTTTGTTTCATAGATGACAAAACTGCATTTTATCTGAAGTAAATGGATATTTATGTTACAGTGGCGCACCATTTTTGTCGGGTCTTACGTCGACTCATCTCGCTGAATGAGATATGGCTTTCAGTGGCTGAACTACTAAAGAATAAAGATTCCTTTTCCAAGATGCTGGCTGATTGGAGGGGTACCGATGTGGAGCAGATTTGTTCTGAGGTTGCTTTTGGTATAAAATGGCCTGAATCCAGACATGTAATGATGAGTTGTGAGTACAACTAACAGTCAACAGCATACCTTTAAGTGATGAACAACATAATAAAATTCTGTACATATGCGTTGTAACATCAATGAGCAAATGCAATCTTGGGGATTCCATTAACAATTTTCATTTCATTGATGCATTAAAACTGTCAGACATGAATACTTTGCGTGACACACATGAAATGTGTAACAGTGTCAAAATATGGGTGACACTGTACTTATAATGTTTCTCTGAAATGTATCATAATGACTGACAACCCAACTATGATATACAGTATTCATTATCTCCAATAATCCTAACCTAACCTAACACAGGATTTATAACTTGATTAGCTTAAGTAACATTTTCTCAGTCCTCTCTCCCACCGCAACAAAAATTATTTTATACTTCTCTTAATATCTCTCCAAAGAGCCTCTGATCTTCTGCCATATTACTAGTGATATATACTGCATGGGGGATCCCCCAGATTAAGTAAATTGTAGTGGAAACGTGATTGGCATGTGTAACAACCACACACAAACATCCATGCTGTAGATGAGATTTGAAAGTGCAATACAAACATTCACTCAGCCTAAGATCATTGGCACATCAGATCACATGATTACTGATCTCGCCTCCACCGAGGTGTGTGAGGTTACTCTTCTAAATAAATCTTCACACTTGAAGACATTATCTCCTCAACTATCTAAATATTAAAATTTGCAGTGTTCAAAGAATTTGAATATCTACTGGAGAGCCAAGTTGGAGTGGACATTTTGGTGCAATGGTTTGAGACGGTGGTAGAGCGATGTGTGACGACAGCAGCCAGAGAGCGTGGCTGCCCAGTGAGACGGATCTCACACCATTTCTTGCTTATCTGGGTCACTGTTGGGGCCAGAGTCCTTCGTGACCTAACCCTCACCTCCACAAATTCATTGGGTGAGTCATGTATGGTCATCTAGTTAACTAAAATTATGTTGCTTCCTATACATTGTAGCATACACGCATAAAAACCTCCCCAAAGAGGCATTAAGTAGTTCAATAACTACAACACATTCCTTATAAACCGTTCATAACTAGAACATTCATAACTTGACATCTATTTTCGCATACGCACATCATATATGAGCGAT